CTCCTCTCCTCTCCTCTCCTCTCTTCTCCTCTCCTCTCCTCATTTCCCTCTTTCTCTCTGTGTCTCCCCATTCTCTGGCAAAGAAGAAAGCTATGGATTCAAAAGAAAGAAACATGAGGGTTGTATAGACATGAAAGAAGTCATGTGACTTCTCCATCACTGGCGGAGACAGGCCTGTGCCACCCTTGTCTCCCCACCTCCAGGTGAGAACAGTGTCATCCCTTCTCTTGGCCATGTGAAACCTGTCAACACAAGAGTAGCCAAGAGTTGTGTTTCTAAACAGTTCTTGTTCTCCTTGTGCTATATTCCTAAGAGCGAGATTTGAATTCCTGTCCCTGAGTCTTCAGTGGCTCTAGGATTGTGGGATATTTTGACTCATCCCTTCATTCCTTTGTGTATATGTGATGCCTTAAAACTTGGATTGGACCAACTCTGAGTATTGTAGCCTTAAAGAATGTGTCCACATTTAATTCACCTTTAATTCAGAAAACCAAGTAGAAATAAAAGGAACGAAACCCTAGGATCTGATCAGTCCTCCCGAAGCCCTCTCTCTAGGGATGGATCTGGCCGATTACTTTGGCGTGGTTTTCCTGGTTCTGTAGCAGAATTTTCATTTGCCATGAATGAAAGCCCAATTCTATTTGAGCTGATGCATCTCCTGCGTAGCAACCACTCATCCATCCATGGAGGCTTGCAAGCTCTTTGGATGCTGAACAAATTTCAGTGGAGCGCCCAGATTTAAAGAGCCTAGCAAGAAAAGCCTGGTGATCTCTGAATCACAAAGGTCCAATCTCCAACTGATAGAATGGATAGCATAGCACTGGAGAAACATTTCATCCCATGGTACATGATACCTCCAGGATTTGGGGCTGACTCCTCTGCTGGCTTGGTCTGTAGGGAGTCCTGTTATTAACCCCAAAGCCACGCCTCTCTGGAAGATTGTATTCCCCAGTGGCTCTACAGGAGAAAGACAGGAAATTCCTTCTGTTTCTTACCAGCTATGGAAAAACAATGCAGGGTCAGCTAAGAGTCACTTC